ACCTGAACTAATGAAAGTGAGAGAGACAGAAATAACCAGGAAGTCAGACAGGAAACCAAAGAGTCAATCAGCCTGACAGACAGTCGGCAGCTCTTTCCTCCTCAATCTGTGAACGCCTGAAAGTCACTTGTCAATGTGTGACCTGGAATATTTAAAGTTGTTACAGATTTAACACATAACAACATAGTTTTACTGTAAATAAGTATGTGTATTTACTTCCTGTACAGTTTGTGTGTTGCTGTAACACGAAGCTTCCGGCCGCTCTAAGCTCTGCATGTGAAGTGCTGCGAGTCTCTGAACTCCAGGTAGAGGCTGAACAGCAGGTGCAGAGACTGGATCCTGCTGCCATACACGGGGATTCTTGAAATATCTCTGTCTGGACCAAACTGGTTGACTGACCAAAGTTGCCAACAATTGCAATAAATATTTGAGTTTAATTTTGACATTGATTTTATTGGGCATTGGAGTCTTTAAGGTGAAATATTTAACTTGTACAATAGCCTATTAACAAACAACCCTTTGACTCAATGATATAAAACAAAGATATTTAAACATTTGGTAGGAAAATCTAACTACCTCCAGCTGCTCCGCCTCAACTCTCTATGACTTATAGAGTATCAAGAGGACACTGATGGAGGAAGCTGGCATTCTTGCTGTTGGACTAGTAAGTAATATTAACTGTTACAGTTTCTTGTGTTGTTGCACTTGCTTGATGTTTTGCTGTGTTACAAAAGTTGTTGACACTAAGTTTTACTGTAAATGGACTGTACTTATATACCTTTCTAGTCTTTCAACTGCTCAAAGCGCTGTACACTACATGCCACATTCACCCATCTGCATACATTCATACACTGATGGCAGCAGCAGGTGCCAACTGCTCATCAGACACAGAAACTAACCATTCATACACATGCAGCATCAGGAGCAATTTGGGGTTCAGTATCTCTCTCAAGGACACTTCGGCAAGAGGAGCCGGGGATCAAACTCCAACCACCTGTTTAGTGGACGGCCCGCTCTACCTTGATCAGAAGAAGTCTCTGATTCAGCACAACCCTAACCCTAAATAAAACATAAACCTAATTGTCTATGCATTTTAACAAGGCCATTGTCAGTGCTGTTTTCTTAGTGTTAAGCTGGCAGATGCTCACCAGAGGTGGTATTACTCAGTAAGAAGTAAGGGTACTCATGTGGACAAAACTCCGGTAAGTGCCAGTAATCAATACCAGTGATTGCCAGCCAATTTCAGGCACTGATCAGAAGTAATGTAATCATCCCAAATGCAGGTGTTCCCTGCAATTCCCTGCTTCTAATAAGTTTTTATTTTCTTTCTATTTTCTCTGTACACAATACGATAGTGTGTCTTTCTTCAACTGTAACCTACTGTATGAGTTCTGTTGAAAAGAAGGTTCAAATAAATTCAATACATCATGTGAATTTCTTACCTTTGATGTATTTTGGTTCAGGACATTTGGGGTATGTGTACTGCAGACAGAATGACTCCATTGACTTTTTCACAGACATTGCAGCTGGGTTTGCAGGAGCTCTGAGTCTGCGAATGGAGTTTCTCATGGTAGAAAAACGATTCTTTTCCACCTGGCTTAATCCTGTTTGGAAATATGTATGATCAGCATAATTTTAATATGCATATCTGCTCTTCTAACAACCTTTATTCCTCATGTCAATATGTGGAAATTTAACTCTTCTTGTTTCCATTTGGACCATTAGCCTACTTGACTTAATATATATTGTTAAACAAATTGTTACAATTTCTAGAATCATAAGATTAATAATTATTGCAAACATTGTAGGAAAAGTGGCTTTCAGAGTAATTTTATAGCTTTGGAGGACAATTAAAGAAATAATTCACTAACATATTACTGTATCAATTGTCAAGTAGGGCTGCACAATATGGTAGATTAACCATATTGTGATTATTTTGACAGATATTGTGATTGTGTTATGACACAAGATTAGTGTTGGAATGAAAATG